AAAGTTTAATAAAGGTTTAATAATTAAATAGTATATTTTAATATAATATATAAAACTAATAAGTATAAAAATATAGAAAAAAATATAACAAAATTATATATAGTATAGATTTAAAAATATATAGATATTTTAAATATGTATTATAATTTAATTTTAAATATATATATTTAGAGAGATTTTAGTATATTATATATATATATTAATTAGATTCTAAGGTTAAGTAAAAAGTTTAATTTTATTAATTTTTAAGTAATTAAGTAAAGTTGTTTAATATTTTTATATATAGTACATATTTAAAATGATATTTTTATTATATTATTATTTATTATTAATCAAGAAATTTGAAAGCGGCTATCAAATAAACATTGGTTTTGGCTAATTCTATTATAATGAGGGCTTACTTTTTAAAAATTTATAGTTTTGTAAAGAAAAAATTTAAAAATTAATTCCTACTATAAATTAGTAAATAATTGTTAAAGGGGGCAAAAATTCAAAGATTAGGCGCAGGTAGCAAATTAAAACTAAGGATTTATTGTGCATTGATTGTGGGTATATAGATTGAAAATAATCCTAGTTGTTGCACAAAAAATGCATAGCAGATGTTTGATTTTGATTTGACAAGAGTGATAAGAAAAAAAGGTAGTTAGAATTAGTTATAATTCTAATAATAAAAGTATAAGTGCATATTAAGTGAAAATTGTTTCTGGATTAAGTTTAGCATATTGTGAAGAGAAAGTAAATTTATTTCCTAAAGTTTGGTAAAGTTTATTTTTTAAAAATTTCTATTTGTGTAATAAAAAAACTAAAAAGTTAAATCCAGTAGGAGTCTAGTAACATTTATATAATGTGGGCTAAAATTTTGAAGATCCTTGGCTGCTAAGTAATCAAAATTGAGGATCTGCCACACATTTTTTGTGTGAACCTAGGGCTAATTAGATTCAATAATCTGAATTGAAGGGTTAAGGATAATTTATTTAAGATTAGAGAGGCTTTAGATGATTATACCATATATGCAAACTTATGATAATAAGATTTTTAATTAACCTATACAAGGTAGTGTAGAATCACTATTTTATAGTATATATATTTCAAAGTTTTTAGGTTTTCTTTATTGGCTTTGCTGGGGATTATCAAAAGTCTGTAAATTGATTAGTTGTATATCAGGTAATATTAAACTTTTGATAACGAATTAGTATTTATAAGTATTAGAGTACAATAATACTAATTAATAGTATTATTGTTTGAAGTGAGCTATTATCGGTTTCTTGTATAGATTTATTATTCGTGATCAAATTAATTTTAAAATTTGGTATTAGAAAGCAACCAAATTCTGCAGGATCTAGAAAAGATATTGGGTAGATTTTGTAATATTTTATAGTAAGTTAAATTTATTATAGTTATTATGTATTCTTAGTATATTAAAAGAGCAGGAAAAAAAAAGAAGATAATATAGTCAACCCTGGCTATAGTCACTCTAGCTATAATCACAACCTTAATAAAGTTACAAAAATTTTTAGACCCATTTTTTTTTAGTTTAATTTCCCTATTTATAATCACATTAATATAATAATTACTATTATATAATTTTTTAAAAACTATATAATAATAAGTATATATAATTTTCCCTGATTATAATCACAAATAATATAGGTAGTGGCTAGGCAAATTAATATTTTTTAAAAAAAATCAATACTTTAACTATTTATAATAATGGTTAAATTTTAAACTTTCTTTTAATTACAGTATTAAATTCTTTAAATAGCTTTAAAATTAAGTATTGCAAAGAGAAAACCAAGAATTGATTATTTAAATTATCACTGTAGTGAATATCGATATACTGGTAGTGCAGTAGTGATAACAAATAATCAATATGTATCTGGTTTTTTTTGTAGTACATATATTTACTAAATTAATGTTATTTCTCATTTCTTAGCAATAGACATAAACATGGTTTTTCTAATAATAATAATAACAGCAGATAATTAATAAGTGTAACAGTATTATATGTTGTGCGCTAGAGAGAAAACCAGAAGGTGAATATTTAGTTATCACTAATATAATAATATAGGTTTACTGTAGTGATAACTTAAATATTCACTTTGGCTTTTCTTTTGCAACACTCATTTATAGGTATAGGGTGTGTCAAATTGAGTCTAAGAAGATATCTAAATGTTAATTACTGTATTTTAATAAATTTTATAATTTATTTTTATTATAAATTACTGTATAAATTACCATATAAATTAGTACATGTTTAATTATAAATTATTTTTTTATCTATAGCAATTGTAAAAAAAAAAAGAAAAATGAAAAATATTGTCTTAAACTTAACTAACATTACCATCTACTATTTGCTACCTTATACAACTGCGCATCTTCAATCTATAGATGCTGGCATTATTAATAATTTTAAAGTACAGTATAACAAATAATTATTTATTTTTTATTTTTTTTTATTATTTTTTTTTTAAGAGAGGTCTTTCCTCTATTCCTTTATTTCAAAATATATAATTGAATACAACTCATATGAATTTATACATTTAACGAAAGGGAGTAGAAGTTAGGGCTCAAGTTTACCCTCGATCTATTCTTAGCTAAGATGGTCGAAAAACCTCTAGACTATATAATTAAGAAGCAGGAGTATAGAATTATTGTAAATAAATTTGTTAATCCATACAATAGATTGTTTATCTGTTGGGTTAAAGGGAGTATTGGTTTCTAAAGAGGTAATAATAATTAAGGGTTAGGGTAGAAGTATTTGTATAATAAAATATCGTAGCAAAAAATATGGAGTATAAATTCATCAGATTATATCTAGTAGGCAGTAAGCCAGTTTACCAATTTTTTTTTATAGTGGTGAAGAATAATTGTCTAGAATATCCCAGTGGGGGTCTGGTAGTTCGAAGAGATTGAGAAGATATGAAGGTATGCTTTTAAAATTAAAGTAGTTTTGTAGTTCTGCAATGGTGCTTCCAATTTTTTCTTGTTCAGTAATTGGGATGCGAATTGTGTGATGCAGGTTTGTTTGCTCAAGGTAGAAAATAATTTCTGAAATTTGAGGTGGAAGTGAGGGTTTTTCTGAAGTATTTGGAGTAATCTAAATCTCGATCCACTCGCTTGAAATTTGGTAGAAAAAGTAGTGTTCTTTCAAGAGTTGGGCGGTATCGACTAGAGCTTTGGGGCTGCTGATTGGTATTGTTAGGTTTACTTTGGTAATGAGGGTATGTTCGTTCGGGAGTGAAGGTTTTATTCATAGGGTTGACAGTTATATAGGTAAGTAGAAGAGAAATATTAAATTTATATTTGTCTTGGATCTCTGCTATGAATTCTTTAGCTTTGTGAATATTAGACCTAGCAAAGATCTTATATATTTGAAAATAAAGATTATATTATAATAATATTTAATTTTATATTATAAGAAAAAAATTTAAGTTGTTTATAAGCTAAAAACAAATAAATTTAAAAAAATTTAACTAAAAAAATTATTTATAAATTCTTAACAAACTCTTTAAATATTAGTTTTAAATCTATAGTTTTTAATACAATATCGTAGTTTATATAAAGAATAACAACTTTTATTATTATACTTTTAATAATTTGCTAGTAAAAATTAAGACTTGTATTAAAAGCAAAATTTTTTTTAAAAACAAAAATATATAAAAATTTAAAAAATTTAAAAAAAAATTTTATAGTAAAAATTTTTAAAGCAAGAGCTTTAAATTTTTATTACTCTAAAGATTTCTATAGTGCTCCAAGTCACTTCTCATCAAATTATATTTACTTTTTTAAAGTCTTATAATTTTAAAATTTGAAAATTTATTAAAAAAATAACCAATAATAACTATTGTATTTAATTAGCTTTATCATATTTATTGGTTAAAATTTTTTAAAAAGTCTAAATATTAAAGTTATAAATAGTTAAAGTTTAGAAAATTTATACGATTTATTATGTAATTTATAAAATTGGCACTATGTTATTGTATATGTTTTTATAGAAATTGGCACTATATATTAATTATATATATGCGATCTGCATAAAATTGTCATGAAAACAAAGATTGAAAAGCATTACACGCATGTTTCAAATTAGACTAATCTGGCCTAATATACCAGAATTGAATTTTTACGTATGCAGTTTATATAATTGAATTTGTGCATCATTAGAATGTTCTCGTAAAAGCAATTAATTTTGCGCTGGTGGTTTCCCACCCACATAACGCAGGCTAGCCGTCAGTATGAATATGTGCTATTGAAGTTTAGCAGTTATAAGAAAATGACAGGTTCCTTTGGGAGATGAGGGTTGGGTTGCAAATTGAGGTTTGCTAAAGCTAAGCTGGCAATTTGTTGGCTTAGAATCCAACTTTGCTTCCCCTTATTCTCACTATTCTCATAATGTTTCTTTCAATTTCGCACTTACCATATGTGGAAGTTTATTTAATGTTAGTATTTCTTTAGTATAAAAATATTAATTTTAAGTTTCAATTTGCCCGAATATTCCATATCTTAATAATTTTCTATCATTATGTTATTTAATAGTATATAACTGTGGTATATCTATATGTATTATCTATAGATTATAATTATATTAAATCAATTAAATTTCTGTCTCATTAACTACTAAAACTAATTTTGCAGTAATGATAGTTTGCAATTTTAGTTGTTTCAATAACTAATAAAAAAAAAAAATTATATTTCATAATAGTCTAAATTCTTTGCGGTTGATAAGGTAAAGTTCTCTAATTTATTTACAAGTTTTCTTTTTTATCATTTAATAACACAATGCTAAGACTTTTTGATCCAAATTTATGAATCTAAATACATAGCCGATATAATTTTCAAACAAAAATAAATGTGAATAAATTTTAATCATGTCTTTATCAGTGGCGTTATGTGTTATAGAAACTTAATATAAAGTTATATTTTTTTACAAAAGCCATGTTCTTAATTATTTTGTCTTCACAAGATTATCTCGTTATATTCTATTTTCATAAATTTTAACAATGCCAAAATCAAAACTTAAAAATGTTGCAAAAAAACGTATACTTACACAAAATAGAAATAATGATAGAAGATTTTTAGCTGCAAATCCAGAATATAGCGATCCAGAATATAGTAATCCCGAACTTTTAGTTTATGAATCTGAGAACAATAATGAGGAGGAATTTAATAATGGGAAGATAGAACTCAGTAAAGAAGAAGTTGAACAGTTAGTTTATGAAAATAGTTCATTTAATATCGTGGATGATCGTGAAATCGGATAATGGTGAAATTTGGAGGTCTTAATTTGAAAATATAAGCCCTACTAAAATCTACCTATACTCTTTTATTAATAACACTAACCCTAAATCCTAACTTAACTATAAAAAAAAAACTAATAAAAAAGGGGGAAAAAAAAGACTATCTTTAGTCTCATTTCATATCTTAGCTTATGATTTTAAATAAAAA